GTTGATAATCTATTAAACAGTGCATTCACATCTGAATTATTATAAGAGAATGTTGACTTATTTTTCAAAGAAATAGTAATATATTCTTGAATAAATAAGTGAGTAAGCAAATTAAAATAGTTAGCTTTGATAAAGAAATATTAACTATAGATCGTTTTTTTGATTTTGAGATATTTAAAAGAGATTAAAAAAGCTTTTACTTGTTAAAGAAACTGATAATTAGCTTGTAGAACAAATTAATAATAAAAAAATAAAACAGAAGAATAGTCTATTAAAGATATTTTTCAAAATACAGTCATCTTTTTTTAAAGTCATCTTTTATATAATCAACTTTTTTTATAAGCACTATTTTTTGAAAAATTATTAGCAATATATTTAGAAGCTAGTATTTCCACACCTCTTTTTTGGTATTTCTATACCCTATGTAGATTACTTATTTTTAAAACTTTTATCGACAACTACTGAGTGAAATTCAATAAACTTTTTTTTTTGAATTCTATAGATTCAAAACTTTTAAATAAAAAAATGTTTATTGGATTTTATTAGGTAGTTGTTGAGATACTTTTGATTAAAGTTATGCATAAATTTGTTACAGCTAACATTTTAATAAACCATTACAATTTTTCTAAAACTTTTATTGAAGCTATCTTGACAATCACCTAATAAAATTTGGTAAAAAAATTTTTTATTTGAATTCTGTAAATCTATAGAATTCAAATAAAAAAATTTTTATCAAATTACTAAGTGGTTGTCAAGATATCTTCGATAAAAGGTTTGGAAAATTTTTAAACAATATAAGTTATGGCAAATTTGTATATAACTTTAATCGAAGATATTTCAACAATCTCTTAATAAAATTTGATGAACTTTTTTTTATATGAATTCTATAGATTCATAGAATTTAATAAAAAAAGTTTATCAAATTTTATTAAGTGGTTGTCAAAATAGCTTTGATGAAAGTTTTAGAAAAATTTTAAACATCTATTAAAATATTAGCTATGACAAATTTATATATGACTTTATCAAAAGTATCTTAACAATGACCTAATAAAATTCAATAAACTTTTTTTTTATTTGAATTTTATAAATCAATAGAAATCAAAGAAAAAAAGTTTATTGAATTTTACTTAGAGATACCTTTAATAAAAGTTTTAAAAATAAGTGATCTACATAGAGTATGGAAATACTAAAAAAGAGTATAGAAATACCAGTTCTCTATATTTATTAAAAAAACTTTATATAACCATATTACTATTAAATTTTATAATTACATCTTTTTATATAAAACAAATAGTGTAATTATAGAGGAGGATGACTGTAGTTAGTTTTTTTGTTAAATATACAATATTAAATATATAATAAAAATTAATATAATATATTAAATATTAGATCTTTATTTAAAATTTTAAAAAAAAACTTTAATTTTGCTTAAAAAATTTTTTTACACAAATCAATATATTATTTGCTAGTTGTTCTATCACATGATATAAAAAGATATACCTTTGAAGCATATCTTAGTACAAGATATATTCACCAAGATATATCTAATTTTTTACCCATGTTTTAAACTTTAGCTATACTAGATATTATTATATTAGATATAAAACACTTTGGGCTATATTATTAGAATAATGTTATTTATTATCTAATTTTTTTTTTATTAAAGATATCTTCTCTTTCTCTTCTTATTATATATTTGATCAGGTTTTTATATATAATTTTAACTATTTTTTACTCTTCTCTCTTTCAAAAAAAATCATTTAATTTTTGTTACTTCTTTTAAATATTTAATAGCTATAACAATATAACAGTTTTTTGTTTTAATAATATCTTTAAAAAGGCCTATTATATCTACTATATACTGTATTTACTTTGTTAAATAGATCTACTTAAATAAAATATAACTTTTATATAGCTTTAGAGTATCTTGCTATTAATATATTTTGCAAGTTTGTATATATTTACTAATAATTTTGTATATTTGTAACCAAAAATATTTGGTTTTGGCTTTATTATAAATTAACTCTATTTTAAAGTATTTGGTTATTATATTTAAGTGAAGTCTGTATAAAATCTGTTCTAATTTATTTTTTTTAATTACTTTTAATATTAGTCTATTTTTTTTTATTTTTGCAATATAGTAAATTATTTTATATAAAATAATAGAAAATTGCTAATTTATACCACAGGTAATAATTATCTGTAGCCAATTTGCCAATCAAAATTTAAGATCAAGTGTAATAATTAAATCAATTTTGTATAACAAAAACAAAGAATTTTTTTAAAAAAGGTTTATTTATATCTTAAAATTTTGTCTACAAAACCATTTTTGAAGCTCTAATAAAAAAATTTCTTGCTAAATTTTACTATATAAAATACTAACTTTAATTTTAACTAACTCTAACCTTACCCTTACTCTAATCTTAAAGAGACTAATTTTTTGGTTTGATAAAAATTATTTATTTTTTTTATGCATTGTAGATCACAGATAATAATCAACTAAGATGATTTTTAGTTATTTTCAAAATAATAAGTGGTTTACTTTTTGAATCTTTTTTGTTATTTTTTATAAAATTTTAAAACTTCAAATAATGTATTTAAAAATACTGAAGGACAAAATCAACCTATAGAACCTGATATAAATATTTAAAATTTTATATAAATATAATAAAAATTTAAGAAATTAACTAATATTCACTACAGATAATTATTATCTATGATTTATAAAAATAATTAATTTTTATTAAAACAAAAAATTAATCTCTTTAAAATTAAAGTAAGAGTCAGATATTAGAGTTAAGATTAGAATTAAAATAATACTTTTTATATAATAAAATTTAGTAAGAAATTTTTTTTGTTAAAGCTTAAAAGGTGGTTTCATAGACAAAACTTTAAAATATAAGTATTTTTTAAAAAAATTCTTTGTTTTTATTACACAAAATTGATTTACACGTTACACCTAATCCTAAATTTTAATTGGCAAATTGACTACAGGTAATAATCATCTGTAATGTAAATTAGAAATATTCAAAATTTAATTATTAAATAATTAATATTATTTTTTACTAGATTTTAAATATTCAAGTTCATATTTTTAGTACTAAACTTAAAATATAAATTATTTTTTAATTATATAAAAAGTTTTTATTAAGTTTAATAAAAATAAAAGCAAGGTTTTACCTTAAATATAAAAAAAAATAAATAAAAAAATAATTAACATATACAAATTTTTAAGATTTTAAATAAATCTGAGGCTAAAAATACTAAAACCAAGTAGAATATTTTAAAGTATATAATTATTTTAATTTAATAATATAATAAATTTTATTTTAACTAATTTATTTATAAATTTTTTAAATCACAAAAAAAAGTAATAGCATATTAGAAGTACAAAGTACTCAAGTTCAAAATAAAGACAATAAGCTAAAAAAATTAAAGTTTATAGTAGATCTAGTATAATTATTATAATTTAATAATAATATAATAAATTTAATTTTATATCTAATTAATTTGTAATTTTTTTAGACTTTTAAAAACATAGTATACTAAAAAGTTTTAAAAATAATAAAAAACTTATATAATTATTACAATTTATTACTATTATAAAATTTTAATTTTATAACTAATATTTTATATATAAATTTTTTAATTGCTAAAAACAAAGTGCTATGAATAATTTTAAAGTTCAAAATATACCAAGAATCTGATATATGTTTTAAATTTATATACTAATTTTAATATATTTTATATTTTTATATAAATTAACTCTATTTAATTAATATACTGTAATTATAACTAGGCTATTTGCTCTATCTTAACTTCTCTATATGAACTTATTATTAACTCACTACAATATTGTTTAACTTCTAACAAACTTCAAACCTTTTCCGTACAAACTAAACAGCTACATAATCTAATTTCTAACCTTGACAGCTTCTGAATACACCTCTTCTTAATCAAACCCTCTATTTTCTCTACACTTTCTAGACTTATTCCTTTTAACATTATACAAACTATATATAAATTTACTATATCGAACCAAATAGCCAATTTAATTACAATACAACTTCTCCTTCATATCAATAAGCAACTTTATACAAACATTTAGATTTCCTATTGTAGCTCAAGACCCACACCTCAATCCTTATCTCCACTAGCAATCTCATTATCTAAATTTTCATACAATACACATCTCTATATAGTTACCTCTGACAATACTACACAAATATCCACACTTAAAGTATTATTATAGTACTCTGACTAAATTAAATTTTGTACATATCCTTCACAAATACTTAATCTATCTAAAATCTAGGTAAGTCTTGGTTACTCTAATAGATTTAGGCCACAAATAAAATTCTAGATTTGCTTTTATTAAGTATTTAGTTAGTCTGAGTTCTTATTTTTAGTACTAGACTTAAAATATAAAACCTTTTCTAATCATATAAAAAGTTTTTATTAAGTTTAATAAAGATAAGAGCATAGTCTCATCTTTAATATTTAAAAAAAAAAAAATTTAATATAATTATAAAAATTATAAGATTAAATAAAATATTCTAAATATATCTAAAAAAACTACAAAAAAAGCAAAAAATAAAGCTTTAAAACATGCTATTATTATAGAAGATAAAACAAAAAAATTTGCAGTTTCTGAAGTTAAAGAAACAGAAAAAGATAATAATGAAAAGTTAGATAAAGATAAAACAGAAAGGAATTATTTAAAGAAGATACAAAGTAGTTATAGTGTTATATATTATTTTAAAAATTAATTATATATTATAGTATTATAATTAACAATTTAATTTATATAATAAAATAAATAGAATTTTATATTTTACTGCATATGCAGATTACTACAAGTTTCTAAATCTGTATAATCACGTGATACGTGTCTATAAATACTAATAACAATAAAAATTTTTTTTAATAGTTTTTTATTTTAACGATTTGACAAGTGATTTCTAATTCACAAACTTTACCAAGTCAGACCACACTATATGATGCTCTATATAGAAAACAAGCCTGAGGCTTGTTCACATCTTATACACTAAAGAAGCCTAAAATTTACTTCAAATATAAGAAAAGTATGAGCTTACTAATTCTAATTCTGTAAAGAATTGTGTTGTTTTTAATAATAAGTTCTAACTATTGATCTTTCAGGTTCTCCAAAAAAAGTATATAGTTCTTCTAGTTCTTTAGAAAAGTATATACTTCTATATATTGCTGGTTTTACAAAAGGCAAATATGTGTCTAACATTTCTGGTTCTTTAGCAGAAAAATATGTATTTATTGGTATTAGTTCCTTAGAAGAAGAATATGTGTCTAATGTAGCTAGTTTTCTAGTAGAAGAATATGTGCTTAACATAGCTAGTTCTCTTGTAGAAGAATATGTATCTAATATTGCTAGTTTTCTAAAAAGAGAATATGTGTCTAACATTGCTAGTTTTTCAGGAAAAGAAAATATATTTATTATTACTGGTTACTCAAAAAAAGAATATGTATCTACTGTTGCTAGTTCTTTAGAAGAAGATATGTCTGTTGGGTTGTATATCAGAATCCCGACACACAAAATCCTAACACACAAAATCCCGGCAACAAAATCCCAATACACAAAATCCTGACAAATTAAATTCCTAATTTTAATATTTTTAGGATTTTAATTTGTTGGGATTTTGTGTATTGGGATTTTGTTGCCAGGATTTTGTGTGACAGGATTTTGTATATCGGGATTCTGATATACAACCTGTCTGTTGTTATGAGTTTTTTAGAGTAGAGGTCTAATCCAGATAAATCTAACATCTATTTATCTATATCTGAATTTATTCAGATATCTATTTACTATTGGTATCTGGATAATCTGACAAATATTCAAATAATTATCCAGATATCAATAGTAAATTGGATATCTGAATAAATTCAGATCTGGATATCCAATAGATAAACAGATAAACAGATAATGGATAGAAACTCTATTTTAGAGAAATATGTATTTACTGCTGATTTTTCAGATACGTGCCTGCTGCTGTTGGTTCTGCAGAAGAAAATATATGTCTGATGTTGCTGGTTCTTTAGAAAAATATGTGTCTGACATTGCTGGTTCTTTAGAAGGAGAATATGTGTCTTTTACTACTGGTTTTCCAGATAAAAAATATATGCCTAATGCTTCCAGTTTACCAGAAGAATTCTCACATCCTTTATAATAGAAACAGGTATATTTTATTTTATCATTTGAAGTGATATTTATGCTTTATAACACTATATTTATAACTATATATTCTTTTTTTATTAGAGAATCATACATTCCTTACTCGAGAAAATAAACATTCAGCTTTATACTTTAAAAAAAGATTTACATTATGGGAAATCTGTAAAAATTTTATTAATGATTGGGCTAAAAGATATGGTTTTTATTTAGTTAAGAATCAAGTTACTTGTGAGGATGGTATTATTCGCTGACAAACTTATTTATACAATCACAGTAGGTTATAAGAATCTACTTCAAAGAAAGATACTAGTACACAAAAAACTCGATGCTCATTTTTGATTAATGTATCTTGTCCTAAGACCAATTCTGATAGGACTATAATTGTTAATAAAATAGTCAACAAATATAATTATCTATTGAATCATAATATAATTAAATTTAGGGATAGAAAAAAATTTACAGATGAGATGATTGAAGATATGAAATTTATGACTGTATATTGTAAATTTGGTGCAACAACACAAAGAAAACTTCTTGAAGGAAAATATTCTTCACAAATAATTTTATTTGAATGTTCTCTATGCTGTTATCTAGAAATTTAAGCCTACTAACAAATTTTTATTTAATGATATTTTGAGAATTTCTAATTGGCTTGATCAAAAAAAAAGTGATGTTATACATTGGGTTATAGCTAGAGGTTGGGATGATGAAAATTGTTTAACTTACTTATTGTGGATGACACCAACACAAGTTGAATATTGGATTAAGTATTCAGACTGTATACTCAATGATGTTATATATAAAACTAATAAATATAGCTTGGTGTTGTTGTTATTTGTTGGTTTTAATAATGATTGTTATAACATTTTACTTGCACAAGCATTTTTAATTAATAAAAGTTATGAATCTCACAAATGGGTATTTTTTAAGATTATTAAAGCAACCAAGGTTTGACCTAAAGTAATACTAACAGATGCAGATCTAGCTGTTGATGTGACTATTTGACAAGTTTTTAATTTATCATATTTGATTCATTGTGCCTTTCATATAACCCAGAACCTATATAAAAATCAAAAAAAAACTTTAAATAAAAATTATCAAAAGTTTCTTATAAAATTCTTTAACTGTTGTAATTGTCTTAATAAAGAAAGGTTTAAATAGCAATTTAACAAACTTATAGTAGACTATCCTAATGCCAAACATTATCTGGAATTTCTTTATAAATCAAAAGAATCTTGGGCACATTGTTATACTGCATTCAATTTTATAGGTAGAATAATAGCTACTTTTTGAATCAAATTTATAAATGCATATTTAAAAAGATTGATTTATAATTCAAATAGTTCTCTCAGTGATTTGGTAAAAGAAATTCACAAATTACTTGATAGACATGATAAAGAAAATAAATACAGATTTGGGCAGTTATCAATTCTATCTGTTCAAAATCAAAAAAAGTGAATTTTTTATTTTTCAAAGTTGACAAGTATTTACAATGATTTTTTGAGCCTACAATGTTAAAAATGCATCGGGATGAAATTAATCAATCATTATACTATACAGCAACTTATATTAATTAGGATAAAGTTGATAACTTAATTGAAGTAAGTGAATAATGAATTCTATATTTCAAGTTGTATTTTTCATATCATGTATTTTGAAATATGTATTTTAGGTTGTATATTTCAGATTGTATATAACTTAATAGTTTAGCTTACAATAATAGGGATATGAGAATGCACTGTTTAATAGATTATCAACTGTTGATCTTCCACAAAAAACTTTAAACCAGATGATTAAATTTGTTAGATATTATAATGTTATGGATATATGGGTAATTAATATTGGAAATTCATTACAAGCTAAGCACTATATTCTTTTGCTGCAAAACAATGAATATATATATTCATGTCTTTCTATTATATACTTTGGAATAATATGTTGGCACTATTTTCAAACAATATTGGCCACAAAAATAACAAAGTTTCATATTTGATTTATACCACCACAATGGTATTATAATGAACAAAATAGGTCATCAGAGCCTTTTTTAGTTGCTGATAAGTTTATACAAGAAATTAAAACAATAACAACTAATTATAGTAAACTGGTACCATATTTAAGTAACTTTGATCAGTCTAAAATGAATTTTTATAAAAAAAATTTGACAATTCTTGAACAAAAAATTACATATGAAAAATTGTATATAATATATAAAAAGGTACTTAATAAAGTATTAGATAATTATTCTAAATCACAACAGCTTATTAAACTATTGAAAGAGTTTGTTGAAGAAGTGGATGATAATAATCTATCTGATTCTGAAGAAAGCTTACAAGGTGACAGTACTAGTGATAAAGAAAACTATGACTCTGCAACAGAAATTCAAATACAAAGCTCAAAGAAACATAAAGGTAGAAGTTGACCACCAGAAACTAAAAGACTTAAGCCTTCTCATGAAAGCTCTAAATCTGTAATAAAAAATTAGCATCAATGCAAAAAGTGTGGAAATACTAGATATTATTAGAAAAATTGTAAGCCAGAAAAATAGTATAAGTAATATTATGTATAATTAGAGTTATTATCATTTATAGAAAAAGATAAAGCATAATATATAGTATATTGAAATTAAATTATTAGCAAAGTATATATTATGTATTTAAACTTCAATTAGCTTATATGTATAAATAAGAAATAACACATTGGCTTATTAAATTTTTTTTTTTTTTTTTTTTGGTATTAAGGTGAGGCCTTGCTCGTATCTTTATTGGGTAATTTATACAAGTAATTACATAGATATATAACAACTTAATTTGTATAGTAACAAAACAATATAAATTACATGCAAGAATAAAAGCTCAGACTAAAAACTTTAAATAAGTTAGTTATCTGCGA